CGTTGTTTCCATCTTTTGGCTATTGTAAATAGTGCTGTGATGAACATGGGTGTGCATATATCTGTTCTTGTCATGGCTGTCACTTCTTTAGAGTATATACCTAGTAATGGAATGGCTGGGTCAAATTGTAAAATGTCTTTTTACTACAGAGTAATAAGCCTGGGTGATCTTGGGGAAGAAAAGGCTCTAGCTGTGCCTTATTCTAGCTGAATGAGGCTACTTCTGGGGCTGGACACACACTTTCAATTGGCCAAAGCACTGGGCAGATTCCAGGGGTGAAAACCTCTGCTGTTACTCTGGCTCATAGTAAGTGCTCAATAAATATCTCTTGTATGAATGAATGAAGGGTCTGTCTACGAAAAGTACAGAAAGTGCCTGAAGCCCCTTTTGCCCTCTGGCTAGTCTGGCCAGGAGAGTTGTCAATTTCCTGTGCAGCCTTAGCTCAGGCCTAACCATGCCCAAAAGAAGCCAAGGTTGACAATGAGCCCCCTGTCAGGTCAGGAAGGGAGAAGCCACAGATGGGAGTCAGTACCTGGCATACAGACCGCCTCTCAGGACTGAGCACCTCTCTTTTATTTACAGAAAACCGGCCCGTCATGAAGAGCCTGACCTTGCCAGCCCTCTCCCTACCCATGAAGTTGGTGAGCCTGGAGGAAGCTCAGGCCCGGAGCCTAGCTACCAATCATCCTGCTCGGAAGGAAAGGAGGGAGAACAGCCTGCCTGAAATTGTCCCCCCCATGGGCACCCTCTTCCACACAGTCCTTGAATTACCTGACAGCAAGTGAGTAACATCCTTTCAAATCTGGAGAAATGTTTGGGTGAGGGGAACAGAAGAGAAGAAGTATAGTCTTAGGGTCATGATGGCAGCAGGGGTTGGGGATGAGGGAAGGTGGTCTGGGTTGAGTGTAAGGAAACATTCCAAAGAGAACGGGGTTGTCCCCACAATTCTCATCAGTAGTTGATGCCTTCACTCACTGACCCTAAAGTTATCAAGACCCCCATCTCCCACCAGTGATCTCTAGCACTACCATGGGGGTGGTGGTCCTAGGGGTCAGGAGCCATGACCCTTACTCCTTAGTTTAGGAAAAATAGGCTTAAAGTTTTTAAAATTAAGTTTCCTAAAAACGAAAACTCAACCTCTTCACCCTGCTTCTGCCCTCATGTGACATTATGAAAGGACAAGTACAAAGAGCACATTCTAGGCTGAGAGCTCTGGGCAGGCAGCAGTAGTGGGCAACCATTCCTGGCCTCCTTTCCTCCTCTCACACCTGTCACAGGCCTCCCTCCCCTCTACAAACAAAAATAGTTTATTTCCTCATTTCTCCCTTTTACTTCCTCTATTGCAACTCTGGTCTCTACCACTCACACCCCACTGTAGAAGACAGCCACTGAAGCAGGAATTCTAATTCTAGGCAAAGAGTAGTTGAGGAGCTAAAAGGCAGTCTTTTCACTGGAGAATGTCATTTCTGCTGTTGAGTCCGTGAAAAGAGGTATGAAAACAGGTGCCCCAAACCTCTTGTCAGGGTTTTCCCCAAAATGGCAGGACTCTTTCCCTTTGGGAAAGACACAAGGAGAGCTGCCACATACCACACCTGCAGGAGGTGCCAGTCACACTGCAAGCAATGGGTGTGGCACACTTGGAACACAGCTGGCAAGGAGTCCCTCCATCTCCTGGATGCATACATCATGCTCTCTCCTGACTTGAGTCCCACTGTTCCTCCCCCTAAATCCTTGGAGGATAAAACTTCTACCCAGGGATCAGGGAGAAGGGTCTTGCAGAAGTACCAACAAGTATATTTTCTCTGTGCTTTCAACCACACCAGGGTGGACCACATCCAAAGATATGTTACCTGGTAAAATATATCCCAAGGCCCAGGTGTGAAATAAGCCATGCCAGGTACAAAAGAAACCACTACCAAGTGTTGCAGCTTTCTATCTGGTTGATCATAAAAACATGCTAGGCTTGAGACCTGAATGTTCTGTGAAAACATCTTGAGCCTTACAGAGAAAAGGTCTTCTGTGGAACCCACAGGTTGCAGGCTTGAGGGTTTCCTCCTGGAACTTCATGAAGTCCCAAGGCTGGGCCAAACCAGAACAGGGCAAAGCCTCTACAGTGACCTCTGGTGGTGCCAGACTCCCCTGCACCCTCCCAACTAGGCTTCACACCTGGTTCCCCAGCTCCTACTGAAGCAGCCTGTCATGATGCATCAGGAAAATGAATGCAAAGCCAGACACGCTACCCTCTGTGTTTCTCTGCAGTGACTATTGACCACACTCAGTTGACAGACTACAATTCTCCCTATCCCCACCTGCCTCTCTTCATCCCTGTGGGGCCCATCAAAAGTAGAAAAGGGCAACCCGTCATTTCCAGGTTGCTTTCTTAGCCAACTTGTTCAGTCTGTGAAAGACTTTACCAGCCCTTTCCTCACCTATGGATGTCCCAGCAATGTGGCCACAGTTCAGGAAGCATAACAGGACTGTGATCTATGTTCATTAGTGGTAAATAAATAATAGGTATTTTTTAAAAACCCAGGACTAAGATGCTTACCAGAATCCCCTCCAAGGAAATTGTAACCTTTGAGTCTCCCACCCATCTCTAGCTCTCTCTGCTTCCCCTTTACCCTCCCACTCACACCATTTTTAACAGCACACCTCTGCTCCTTGCTTTAGAGAATATGGCCCTTGCTGTGATTTATGAAGGAGCTCTGGTGGTGTAGCGGTTAAAGCATCTGGCTGCTAACTAAAAGGTTGGTGATTTGAACCCACCAGCTGCTCCACAGAAGAAAGATGAGGCAATCTGCTTCTGTAAGGATTTATAGCCTTGGAAACCCAATGGCGGTTGCTGTGAGTCAGAATCAACTCAATTGCAGTGAGTTTGGTTTGGTTTTCTGTTTAGCTTGGTCATCAAGGGTGTCCTCAGATAGGGTGAAACTTAAGTTCCTCTTGGATTTTAGAGAGGAATTTCCTGACATGTCAGAGCCATTCATAACTAAGAATACAATTAGAATATTCTTTCTCAATTTAAAAGTTCCAACAAAATGACTAGTTGCCAAACTAACCCCTAATGGCTTGAACTCCTTTAGAAGAAAGCTCTCCAGTAAGTCAAAGAAGTGGAAGTCAATATTTAACCTGGGACGTTCTGGATCAGACTCCAAATCAAAGCTGAGTAGAAATGGGAGTGTATTTGTAAGAGGACAGAGGCTGTCAGGTAAGAATCAGTAACAGTTGTTTTTAATGATTTTGTTTTTGTGTTTTGATCTGTTTCCTAAGTCTTTGGTTTGATTAAGTCAAACTCAGCCCTGAAAGAGGAACTTACAAATTAATTAGAGGCTCTTTTTCTTACTTTTTATTTTTATATCATTTTAGACTTACAAAAAAGTTATAAAATTAGTACACAGAGAACTCATATACCTTTCACACAGCTTCTCCTGATATTAACATCTTATATAACTATATTACAATTATCAAAGCTGGAAAATTATAGTGATGCAATACTATTAACTAATTTATAGATCTTATTCAGACTTCACTAATGTCTCCTAATGTCCTTTTTGGTCCAAGATCCAATCCAGAAACCCACATAACATTTTTTCATCATGTCTCCTTAATCTCCTCCAGTGTAGAAAAGTTCTTCAGTCTGTCTTTGTCCTTTTGTTGTTGTTAGGTGCTGTTGAGTAGTCTCCAACTCATAGCAACCCTATGTACAACAGAACGGGACACTGCCCAGTTCTGTGCCAGCTCCACAGTCCTTGCTGTACCTGAACCCATCATTGTAGCTACTGTGTCAATCTATCCTGTTGAGGGCCTTACCCTTTTTCATAGACGCCCTGACTTTACCAAGCATGATATCCTTCTCCAGGGAATGGTCCCTTCCTACAACATGACCAAAGTAGGTGAGATGAAGTCTGGCCATTCTCACTTCCAAGGAGCACTCTGGCTGCACTTCCTCCAGGACAAATTTGTTAGTTCTTTTAGCAGTCTGTGATACTTTCAGCATTCTTCGCCAGCACCACAACTCAAAAGCATCTTCGGTCTTCCTTGTTCATTGTCCAGCTCTCACATGCATATGAGGTGATTGAAAATACCAAGGCTTTTGTTAGGCACACCTTAGTCTTCAAGGAGATATCTTTGCTCTTCAGCACCTAAAAGAGGTCTTTCACAGCAGATTTGCCCAATACAATATGTCTGATATCCTGACTGCTGCTTCCATTGGTGTTCACTGTAGAAGCAATATGAAGTCTTTGACAACTTCAATCTTCTCTCCGTTTATCATGATGCTGCTTATTGGTCTAGTTGTGAGGATTTTTGTTTTCTTTTTATTGAGGTGCAATCCATACTGCAGACTACAGTCTTCAAAATTCATCAGTAAATGCTTCAAGTCATTCTCACTTTCAGCAAGCTAAGTTGTATTGTCAGCATATCACAGGTTGTTAATGAGTCTTCCTCCAATCCTAATGCCATGTTCTTCTTCATATCGTCCAGCTTCTTGGATTATTTGCTCAGTATACAGATTGAATAAGTATGGTGAAAGGATACAACCCTGACACACACCCTTCCTGATCTTAAACTGTGCAGTATCTCATTGTTCTGATTGAATGCTACCTTCCTAGTCTATGTATAAGTTGCTCGTGAGCACAGTTAAGTGTTCTGGAATTCCCATTCTTTGCAATATTATCCATAATTTGTTGTGATCCACACAGTTTAATGCCTTTGCATAGTCAATAAAACACAGGTAAGCATCTTTCTGGTATTCTTTGCTTACAGCCAAGATCCATCTGACATCAGCAATGATATCCCTTATTCCCCATCCTCTTCTGAATTCACCTTGGAAGTTCCCTGTCAGCATACTGCTGCAACCATTTTTTAATTATCTTCAGCAAAATTTTACTTGCATGTGATATTAATGATATTGTTCAGTAATTTCCACATTCTGTTGGATCACCTTTCTTTGGAATGGGCACAAATATGGATCTCTCCCAGTCAGTTGACTAGGTAGCTGTCTAGCTGTCTTCCAGATTTCTTGGCATAGATGAGTACGTGACTCTGGTGCTGCATCAATTTGTTGAAGCATCTCAATGGGTATTTCATCAATTCCTGGAGCCTTGTTTTTCACCAGTTCCTTCAGTGCAGCTTTGACTTCTTTCTTCAAAACCATTGGTTCTTGATCATATGCTGCCTCTTGAAATAGTTGAACATCAACCAATTCTTTTTTTGTACAGTGTGTATTCCTTCTATCTTCTTTTGATGTGTCCTGCATCATTCAATATTTTGCCCATAGAATCTTTCAGTATTGCAACTTGAGGCTTGAGTTTTTTCTTCAGTTCTTTCAGCTTGATAAATGCCAAGCATGTTCTTCCTTTTTGGTTTTCTAACTCCAGGTCTTTGCAAATTTCATTATAATAATTGATTCTCTTTTCTCAAGCTGCTCTTTGAAATCTTCTATTTAGCTCTTTTATCTTGTCATTTCTTTCATTCTCTTTAGCTAGTCTCCATTCAAGAGCAAGTTTCAGAGTCTCTTCTGACATCATTTTGGTCTTTTCTTCCTTTTCTGTCTGTTTAATGATGTTCTGCCTTCTTCATGGATGATGTTCTTGATGTCATCCCATAACTGGTTTGTTTTTTGATCATTGGTGTTCAGTCCATCCAATCTGTTCTTCAGATGGTCTCCAAATTCAGGTGGGATATAATCAAGATTGTATTTTAGCTGTCATGGATTTATTTTCATTTTCTTCAGCTTCAACTTGATCTTGCATATGAGCAATTGATGATGTGCTCCATAGTCAGCTCCTGGCCTTATTTTGGCTGAAGATATTGAGCTTCTCCATCACCTTTTCCACAGATGTAGTCAATCTGATTCTTGTATATTCCATCTGGCCCCATCCTTCTTCCCAGTCTGTCTTAGTCTGGAAGCTCTGCTGAATCCTATCCACCATGGGTAAACCTGTAGATATATGAAATACCAGTGACAGAGCCCTTAGACTCAGAGCAACATGCCAGCCACCACTGTACAACAAACTGACAGATGAGTGGTGGAGACTGGATATTGTTGTTGTTGTTGTTATGTGCCATCAAGTCATCTCCTACTCATAGCGACCCCTCCTTGGATTTCCAAGGCAGTATCACTACAGAAGTAGATTGCCCTATCTTCCTTCTGAGGAGTGGCTGGTGGGTTTGAGCTACCAACCTTCTAGTTAGCAGTCAAGTTAAATGGAGGAAAGACCTGAGTTATCAGGGATTTCATTTTACTTGGATCCACAATCAACACCCATGGAACCAGCAGTCAGGAAAGCAGATGTCATATTGTGCTGGGTAAATCTTATGCAAAAACACTCTTTAAATGTTAAAGAGCAAAGATGTCATTTTGAAGACTAAGGTGAACCTAACCCAAGCCATGGTATTTTCAATCACCTCATATGCATGTGAAAGTTGGACAATGAATGAGAAAGACCAAAGATGAGTCAATGCCTTTGAATTATGATGTTAATGAAGAATACCGAAAGTACCATGGACTGCCAGAAGAACAAACAAATCTGCCTTGGATGAAGTGCAGCTGGAATGCTCTTTGGAAGTGAGAATGGCCGAACTTTGTCACATCTACTTTGGTTGTGTTGTTAAAGGGACCATTCCCAGGAGAAGGACATCATGCTTGGTAAAGTAGAGGGTCTGCAAAAAATGAGAAGACTCTCAACAAGATGGGTAGACATAGTGGCTGCAACAATGGGCTCAAGTATAGCAAGGACTATGAGGCTGGCACAGGAGTGGGCAGTGTTTTGTTCTGTTGTACGTAGGGTCGCTATGAATGGGAGCTGACTCGATGGCACCTAACAACAACAACAACAACACGGAATTGTAAGCTTTCTTAGTCTGCTAGTGGTTCTTAGGACACATATGCTTAAGTGCAAGTATTTAAGAATGAAGTGTTAGAATACTGAAACTCACTTTCAAATGGTTCAGTGAGATGTGGGTAAGTAGGTAGATACAGATATTGGAATAGATAAAGCAAATGTATAGCGAAATGTTGAAAATTATTGATGCTAGATGTTAGGTTTAGAGATACTCAATTTTTTTTGAAAGTTAGAATTTTTAATAATAAAGACTTTTGGGAGAAAAGGTTAATGCCTATAGGAAAATTAAGAGACAATATTTTAAAATATTTTTCTTGATGGACAGTTTTCTAGAAACACACCACTTACCTAAACTAACACAGACTGAAGTGAAAAATTTGAACAGGCCCATCACAAAAGAAGAAATTGAACAG